ATCTCCCCCTCTTAGAACCAAGCACCGAACCTGTGGGGGGACCAGAGCCTTCTCCATAGCTGCCCCCCCCTCTCTGGAACTCCCAACACACATTCAACGCTGCACCGACCCTCCTACTTTCAAATCACTTCTCAGAACTCACCTCTTCAAACAAGCTTTTAATGTATGATTGTGATGTATTTTCTGTTTTCTGTTGTTTTACCTTTATTGTTGTTATCTTTATGGTTTGTGTGTAATGTTGCAACGTCTGTTAGTCTGTCTTTACTGTTCTGTTCTTTCTGTTTTTAACTATTGTAAAGTGTCTTTGAGTTTTTTAAAAGCACTTATAAATAAAATATTTATTATTATTATTATTAAACCATTTATCAACCGTGTTCAATTCAAGGCTTTAATCTGAATGAAGAGCAATTAAACCTTCTTCTTCTCTCTCTGTGTGTGATAGGCTAAAACAAAGTTGCCCATATGGCTGCTGCCAACTTTGGAAAATGGGCGGTTCTGCACGAGCCGTTCCACCCCAGGTGTCGCAAGGAGGTATAAAAAAGCGTGGAGAGGAGGAAGGACCTCAACCTTATCATCCTCATCACTTCATTCACCTGACATGACAGTCTCACATCCCTGGAGTTGAGCCTCCATCCTGCACTGAGGGCTGACGTGCTGCACAGTGAGTACAAAGACTTCTAAATGATCTTTTACCTCAAACAAAACTAAAGGGTTTGTTCAGATGGCAGGTAGAAGATTTTATCAGTTTAATACAAGGATATCTGCAGAAATTACTTATTTAATTAGACGGAAAGGGTGTTCATATCACAAGAACATGCAAAAAAACTCTATGGAAGAACTTTTAAGAAGCTTGTTGATAACTAAAAGTCATTCTTCATTCACTTTTTTGACTGAAATTCGAAAAACTGTTTACTGTCAAAGACCTTTAAATGAAAATGAGTTTATTATTTTTTATTTAAGCCCAATTAAAAAACTATTTTTGCTGAATGGAAGTGATGGAGGAAGGCCAAAAAAGCTGCTTTAACTATTATTTTTGGGATTTTGACTGACCTGAAGAATTCCCACTTCTCTGTAAATATGTCAGAAATCCTCATTAGAGCTGCAGGATTTTTAACTCCTGCTTGCATACCTGTTCTGTTTTGCCTGTGTGCCGAGGGCTACACATGGATGCGCCTGGTGACATGTCACAATTTTGGTGTAAACGGTAAGCTTGGCTGGACACATGAGCTGAACCTTATAAGGAAGTATGCCTGCTAAGTCCCTAGCATCCCTCTTTGGGATACCAAGCTTACCAGGAGCAAAAGGGTTAGCCAAACATGGGCATTCCAGCGTGGCAACTCACTTGTTTGATTATAGGGGTTATCTGTGTGCTGCTTTTCATGTTTTATTGCGTGCTGCTCAATGGGAGGTCAAAGCAGCCTTGTGACCCGCACGAAGAGGCAGAGCCAAGGATAAGTGAGTAAGTAGCTCGTTGCAAAGTGTGCAGAGGCCGTTATCAGCAGTAATCTGTCAGGCAGTTCACTAAAAACCAAAATGTAAATGATGTCTGTGACGCCTGGATGCAAAGATAGAGCCTGAGTCATAGAAGGAGGAAGACAGAGGTACAAAAGATGAGCTAACATGCTGTGTTGTGTTCTCTCTCTGTGTTGAGCTGTGTGCCTGTTTAAATATCTGCAGTGATGTAACACACAGTATGTCTGATATTTTTGATCTCTTCCACTTCATGAAAGGTAAAAAATTGTTCTTTACTGCTCGTCAAAAATGTGTTTCAAGTTAAACGTCAAGTTTATTTGTCAAGTGCACAATTATTGCAATCCCGCAGTCATTGCTTCAGAATCCACTTTCTCAAGCTCCATCTGACGGTAATAAAGAAAATCCTTAGAGAGAAAAAAGGTGAAAAACAGGAATCAAAGTATGAGATGTAAACAGGGGCAGACGTTAGAATATGAGACAAGATAAATAAAAAGGCAGTAGTGATGACAGGATTTAAAGGTTTTAGAGCAGAAATGTTAATTAATGACTAGAACTGGTAGTTGGAAAGGTGATAGCAAGATGTAAACAAGTAATTCACATAGTGTGTAGTGGTGACTTTGTCCACAAAAAAATAAACTCAAAATTAAACCAGCAGCGCAGCACAGGGACAATCGACTGTAGACAGGATCCAATCAAAAGTCATATGCAGGAAAAAATACAATTTCTCTTGTGTTTATTTTGGCTTTCAATTAATGATTATTTCTCGCGGTGTGTCTTGAGTTCCTGGTTAAAAAAAAAATACATTCACCTTCCCAGATGTTGGCTATCCTGTCTATTGGCCCGTCTTTACAGTATATACATCACCCGGTGTAATCAGAATCAGAAATACTTCATTAATCCCAGGGGGAAATTTGTTTGCTACAGTTGCTCATAACATCAAAAATCAGTAGGAAGTACAGATAAGTTCACAAAATAAAAATAGTAATAACAATATAATAAGCATAAGTACCAAGTGAAAGCAATAATAAAGTAGTATAAGTAATAAGCTATGTTCAAGTGCAGGTAATTGAAAATATAAACAATATTAACAAATATGAATATACACTGATGGATTAACAGCGTAGATATTGCACGGTTCATGTATAGATAGCACTTTTGATGTATAAATATTGTCCAGTTTTCAACAGATTGCACAGTTTTAGTAGAGAATCGACTTTTTCTTTCAAAATAAAAGCATTAATAATGACGCAAAATAAAAGCATTAATAATGACTCAAATGTCTTCATAATAACATAAACTGTATTAAACGTAGTCCTATATGTTCCTCAAGCAGGTTAACATCAAATAAATCAATTATTTAATGTATAAGAAGATGTACTTTATTCATCCTCTGAGTGGAAATTCAATTTCACACTTTGTTGTTGAACCTGATACACACACACACACACACACACACACACACACACACACACACACACACACACACACACACTTATGCACAACAGAATCCTGTTGACATGGAATAATGGAGCGATGTCAGAGGGAGGGGGGCGGCCCACAGTGAGCGCTCCTGGGCTGGAGGGGTGGGCTCACTGCTCTGCTCAGGGCATCTAGGCAATGCTCAGGAAGTGAACTGGCACCTCTCCAGCATACAAGATACAGTTTGCGGAAAATCTGCATCGGCAAGCGTGTTGTTCAATGCAGCAATGCCAATTTGATGATTTGGATAAATATAAGAAATTGAAGAGTGAATATTATTTTACTATTTACAGGCTGATTAATGTGGGGCACAAAGTTCTGAACATGGGTTTCAACTAACACAATGTGTTGTAGTTCAGCGTTTGATTTTGTTGACTGTATGTCCCGTAGGTCAGAGGTCAACCCGACTCCCATCGACCCTCCAGAGGCCGACCCGGTCACCGCTGACGATCAGGACCAAAGCTCGACTTCCTCGGAGCTACCAGAGGACGACTCGGACGCGGACGGCGGACCTCAGATCGACTCCAGCGCCGACGGTGATATTCCGAACATGGCCGAAGAAGACAACAAATACCTCTTCCTGGAAAATGACTTCCGCAACAGCGGGGTGGCGCAGGCCGATTTTGCGGCCAAGAAGATGGTGTGGATCCCGTCAGAGAGGGAGGGCTTCGAGGCGGCCAGCATGAAGGAGGAGAAGGGTGATGAGGTAACGCACACCCGTGATGATGTCACTGTGAACAGATGATGCTGCAGTATCTTTGCTGTCTCTGCATGCTGCTTACGTCCCATGACTTTAAATATTTAATCCTGCCACTGACAAAGAGAAGCTTAACTGTCTTTAGTTGTTTTTTATAGCAGTGACAATAAATATTCTGTTCCATTTTTATGCTTTAATGAAGCTGGATGCAAAGTTGTTTTGTACCAGCCTGTAAACATGTTTATTTCTGCTTAAACAAATGCTCATTTTAACATGGGATCTGATGGGGCTTCCTGGGCGTTTGCAGCCAGCCCCCTAGTGGACACTTGAGGGAACTGCAGTTCATTGCACTTACCGCATTGGCTTAATTTTTTTCAACCTGCAGGTGCTGGTGGAGCTAAGTAACGGTCAAAAAACGACTGTGGCCAAAGACGACGTCCAGAAGATGAACCCGCCTAAATTCAGCAAGGTGGAGGACATGGCTGCTCTCACCTTCCTCAACGAAGCGTCCGTCCTGCACAACCTGAAGGAGAGATACTTCTCCAGCCTGATCTATGTGAGTGACACACACACACACACCTATACACACATACACACACATTTGTGGGCCCAAGGGTGAGAAAGTCAAGTGCTATGCCTACATTAAAGTCTTAATAAACTAACCTTCATTGTGTTGAAATTGTGTGAGGAACCTAATAATATCATTTTAGAAAACGGGTCTCAACTTGGACGTTGAGTGAAACGACGATTTCAACTAACTAAACATTGATTTAAGAATGTAAACCGGGATAAAAGCAGGAGCAGCGTATGTCCTATAAAGGTCAGCAGGTAAGACCCGGCTTCTTACAACCCCTTATGAAGTTCAGGTGGAAGAGTCCTTGTTGAAGGACTTTGTGCCGACCCTTTGGGCTCTACTTTGACTCAGGTTGAGATGAAAGGATCAACAGCTTATGTTTTTTATTTTTTCAGTCACTCTTACAAAGTCTAATAAGGTACGAGATGTAAAATTAAAACCCCCGGCTGGTGCATCTAATACTGAGTGCCATGAGGATCACAGGAGGTTAAGACCTTCAGTCCCTCCGGTCCATATATGAGCAGACGTGTCTAAGAAGAAGAAAAATCACAAGTGCTCACAATGAGCTGCGACCTTCTGGTCCAACATTGTGAAGAAAAAATAATTTATATACATTTGATTTTGAAGAGCCAATCGCTTTGTGAAGTTTGTCTGTCTCCTTTCATTCCACTTTTTTCAATTCATATATCTGGACTGGATTTTGTTCTTTTTAATTTTATTTAGTTTCTCAAGTATGATGATGCAGAGGAGAAAATTAACATGTTGAAATAAAGCAGGAACGTTCGCTCTGCTACAAAAAGTTAAATCAGAAGAGGATTCATTAAGAGTGAACAATTATTTATGTAACCGTTTAGGAAAAGATAAACAGGCAACGTACGTCATGACGACTTCACAAACTTGGAGGGGCAGCGAGGCCGACAGCAGGATAGGACACCCTCCTAGTGGGGTCCAGATCCTGGTGGTCATGGTGATACCCCCTTAAGGAGTCTAGACCCTGGTGGTGGTGGTGATAGAAGAATTCAGGATGTGATGAGGAGTGGGTTTCTGAGGCTGTATCTGAACTCTGCTGAGCTGGACTGGGCTGAGGAGGGTCACAGCGATCACACTGAAATCCACAGACTCATACAGACAGTTCGTCAACATCCAGGAGACTTTTCACCAAACCATAATCAGAAAGGCACAAAAAAAAAAACACCCCAGACTCATCTCATGTTTTCCTCCCCTCAGGCTGACGTACGGGGTTCGCTTAGGCAGGAACAACCGTTTAAAAAAATGTGTGTAGTGTGTGGATGTGTAGCTTTACCTGCAGTTATTCATCACTGTTATTCATTATGTCATATTTATGTTTTTAGTTGAGGAATTGAATGATTATTTAACTGGACATGTTTTACTGTAGCTGCATCAGAGCGCTGTGAGTTCAGAGGCTAATTTCCCACTCGGACAATAAAGTTCATCTTATCTTAAACAGGATGATTGGTCGGTAGAGGATGTGGCAGAATCTGGTTGGTTGATTACATAAAGAGTAAACGCCCATAATCAGCTGATCACCTGAGCAGCGAGATGGAGGGAGAGGAAGAGAGGGAGCGGATAGTTAAATGAAGGAAAACAAATGAATGAGTGAGAGACTCTGAGCTCCATTACTACACAGGTGTTTTACATGGATACTTTTTCTGAGTGGTTTATGTAAACATGGAGGGATATGAACATAATGCACACAAATAAAAATGTAGTATACTTCAGTGCTGATGAGCGTCAGTATGCACACATTAAATAAACATGTTGATATATATACCCTATTTCAAAGGGTTAATGTTAGATATAGTGCAGGATAGTGGTTTTTTAGGTATTGTTTAATAGAGAATAATAAACTGTCCATAAACAAACATACATAGGGATATTGAAATGCTGTTTCCTGTTGATGTGGAGCCAATTTAAGACACTTTATAGTCAAATGGTAAGTGTCAATCAAACGCAGTGGAATAAAATGACAACACTTCTCTCTGCAATGTAAAGAAGAAGAAGTATAATGTGACAAAGACCCGATCACTTTCAGGATATCCTCTCTCTCATGTTGGAATAATCTGATGTTTCTCTGCAGACGTACTCGGGTTTGTTCTGCGTGGTGGTGAACCCCTACAAGATGCTGCCGATCTACTCCGAAAAGATCATTGAGATGTACAAAGGCAAGAAACGCCACGAGGTGCCGCCGCACATCTACTCCATCACCGACAACGCCTACAGGAACATGATGCAAGGTAACAGTGTGTGTGAGAGAGTGTGTGTCACCATGTTGTGTTATTAGCCTCGTGTTGCAAGTTTGAAGTACTTCTTTGTTAACTCCTGTATTTCTGTTCTCTGCCACTTTGTGAGTTTTTTTTCTTCAATACATTTATTTTAAATAACTCTTGTAACTTTCAGATTTAGATAAATAAGTTAAAAAATATACCAAAATGTATGAATATAATTTATAAAACAGAGTAGGTTATTCTGTTTAGACAGATTTAAAACATCTCAAGAGTATGAATAGTTTAAAAAAAAATTGTATAAATATAAAAATATAATGTAAAATAAAGAGTAAAATGTGAATTGTTTATTGTACCATATCATTTAAAATGTTAGTTAAATAATTCCTACATGTGTTGTGTACTCAGTGACCTTCTTTTCAGTTCAGGGAGAAAATATCAAAATTTAAAGATGCGTTTAGAACAAAATATTCCTCCTTAAAAAAATGTGTAAAAGCCCAGTGAGGTTAAAATGAAGAGCGGTGGCAGGTTAAGTCACCTCAGTGAAGACACACACACACACACACACACACACACACACACACACACACACACACACACACACACACCCTCACTCAGATACTAAATATGAGGAGAATGGTGTCAGAGAGAGAGGAACCCTTCTTTAAGCCTCAGAGTGTGCTGGAGAGAGACGGCACGCTCCGGATGGTCCACTAGTGACCTCAGACCAAACTCCATACTTTCCACTCAGCCTCCGCATGGCCTTACATGGAGCAGGGAGTCAAGATTACAGCGATGGAGCTCTGCATCCACCCGCTATTTTTAGACGATTTGACTGACTGACGGAGGTTAATCTCCATCAGAACCAGATTTGTTAGCAGAATTGTTTTCGCTCCGGTGTCCGAGTGAAGCGGCACCGCCTCGGAGTTCATGTTTGGTCGGGTCGACACGGCTTCGACCGACGAGTTCAGCTCAGTCAACATTTTACATCCCTTTGAACGTCCCTCCTCTCTCTCCCCTCTCTCTCTCTCTCTCCCTCTCCCCTCTCTCTCTCTCTCTCTCTCCCCTCTCTCTCTCTCTATATATATATATATATCCCCCTTTCTCTCTCTCTCTCTCTCTCTCTCTCTCTCTCTCTATATATATATCCCTCTCTCTCTCTCCCTCCCCCTCTCTCCATCTCTCTCTCTCCTCTCTCTCTCTCTCTCCCTCCCCTCTCTCCATCTCTCTCTCTCCTCTCTCTCTCTCTCACTCTCCCCTCTCTCTATATATATATCCCCCCTCTGTCCATCTCTCTCTCTCTCTCCCCCTCTCTCCCCCCTCTCTCTCACTCTCTTTCTCTCTCTCTCTCTCCACAGACCGTGAGGATCAGTCTATCCTCTGCACGTGAGTCAAACCACAGGGAACACACACACACACACACACACACACACACACACACACACAGTTTCCACCACTTAAGAGGACATTACTTTGGTTCATTTTCATTTCCTGTAGAGTAACACTAATCGAAACCTTAAACCAAAGTGCACAAAAAAACCTGATTCATTGTATTGTCGTCCGCACAAAGTGAACGTCTTATATTCATTTTTCCTCTGCTCTGCCACCTAGAGGTGAGTCTGGAGCAGGGAAGACCGAGAACACCAAGAAGGTGATTCAGTACCTGGCTGTCGTCGCCTCCTCACACAAGGGGAAGAAGGAAGCTGTAAGTAAAAACAAACAAACCAGGAGCTCTGTGAATAAAGTTTAAGAAAAGGTCAAAGGTTGCTTCTAACTGGATCTATGTAGCCGCTGATTAATTCACTCAGAGCACTCCGCATTACATTGTGTGCCTCAGCGTGGCATCTATAGCAACACATGACACCCCTGTGAAGGTTCTTAATGACCTGAATCCAAAGGTGACACCTGCTGGAGCAATTTGTGTTTTGTAACCGCTGTGGACGGATTATTGGTGAAAACGTTTAACTAAGCAGAATCCAAAAATCACGTTTTTACATCTTGTGCAATGACAAGAGATCAACCCTGATTCAGAGTTACAGCTGCCGCCCGCTGAGCTGCACGTCATCCAGAGACGATCTCTGAGCGGTTTGTTGAGCTGACAGTTATCGATGCTTCACCTCTGGTCCTGCCTCTGTGGTGCATTTTAAGCCGTCGCACGAGCAGATCATTTTTAGGAAATACTAAAGGAAATGGGAAAGTTGAGGGTTTTTTTTGTTGAGTTTCTCACCAGTTTTCTGTCCCTGTTTTCATCCGCAGGCGCCACAGGCACCGCAGCAGCAAGGATCCCTGGCCTATGTAAGAAAAAAACACGTTTACACAATAAGTAGGAAAAGTTTACCTTCAAATTCTAGATGACAGAAAATAAAAATTCCTGATGATGCATTTCTTTCTCTGAGATATTTTTTTTTGTGTGCATAGATTAATAGACGCACAGATGTACTGTTTAGATGTCTAAACTCATTATCACCTGTAGGGGGAGCTAGAGAAGCAGCTGCTGCAGGCTAATCCCATCCTGGAGGCATTTGGAAACGCCAAAACCATCAAGAACGACAACTCCTCTCGATTTGTACGTTTTCATTCTGCACTTTTTTAGAAACCTTTGGACCTGACGTTAGTCCAGTGTTTAAAGGTTTGTTTTAATCTCCGCAGGGAAAGTTCATCAAGCTCAACTTTGACGTGACCGGCTTTCTTGTTGGAGCGAATATTGACACCTGTATCCTTTTTAAATCCCTTTTATTTACTAAACTGTGAATATATATTTTCCATTAAGTTTGAAATGCAAACATGAAACGAGGCGTGGTTTATCCTCTTAACTCAATCAGACCTTCTGGAGAAGTCTCGCTGTATCCGTCAGGGCAACACCGAGAGAGCCTTCCACATCTTCTATTACATGGTGGCCGGCGCCAAAGACAAGATAAGGGGTGAGGAAACGATCACACGGGCACTTAATATATAAACACTTCCCTTAAAGGCACAGTACGTAGATTACACCACCAGGGGGCTCTCAATCAAAACAATAACAAAAAGATGACGTCGAGGCTGGGGCGGGGAATCATGGGAGTGATTCTCTCTGATACTCCAATCCAACCACCCCGATGAAAACGACCTCCGAGGTAACCGTAGTCAAGAGGAATATATTTGGATGCCAATGAAAGGCGTCTGATCCAAACTTCACAACAGGGTCCTAAGTCTCTGACTAGACTCTTCTCCTCTGTCGCCCCCCCGGTGGTGGAATGAACTTCCAAACTCCATTTGATCTGCAGAGTCCCTCTGCACCTTTAAGAAAAAGCTAAAGACCCAGCTCTTTTATGAATACCTACTAACTTAATGATGATGGTCTCCATATTATTGATGATGATGATGGTAATGACAATGGTTTTTGTTTGATAACGATGACTTATAAGATGGTTTCTATACTGATTAGAGCTCTCAAGAACTGCCCTCAATGTTGTGCTTTGCCTCTGGTCACTTCCTGTCAGCACCTGTATGTCCAATCAGACTCAAAGCTGATCGTTTGCTCTTACTGACATTGTTCCCTTTTTTCTAGATCCTTGCTTGTGTTGTTCTTACTCTCTGATGTACGTCGCTTTGGATAAAAGCGTCTGCTAAGTGAATTGTAGAATTGAATTGTAGGAACGGGAAAAACCGACCTGAGGAAGCTAATGTATCATTAATATTATCCAAAGCTGGCAGTTTCTCCCTCACTATTGACAGCTCCTCAGTTTCCCCTTCCCCTCAGGTTCCCTCATAAATCCCTCCATAAGCTCCAACTGGTTCAAAACTCTGCTGCCCGTATTGTCACCAAAACCCCTTCATACCATCACATCACCCCCACCCTACAGCAACTCCACGGGCTCCCGGTGACGCAAAGAATCATCTTCAAACTCCTCCTGTACACCTTCAAGGCCATCCACAACCTCGCCCCCCCATATCTGTCTGACCTCCTTCACATCGCCACTTCAGCCCGCTCCCTCAGATCCTCCTCCTCCATCCACCTCACCGTGCCCTTTGCCCGCCTCAGCACCATGGGGGGCAGAGCTTTCAGCTGCTCTGCTCCCCAGCTCTGGAACTCTCTGCCACCGGACATTCGCAATATTGACTCTCTCCCCATCTTCAAATCCAGACTCAAAACCCATCTGTTCAAGATCGCCTACTCACGCTAACATTTTAACTGTAATTACACTGTCCTACATTTCATTTCTTTATTGTATGCTGTTTTTGTTATCCATCGCTGTTTTTAAAAATGTTGATTGTTGTACAGTGTCCTTGTGTGTCCTGAAAGGCGCTTATAAATAAAATGTATTATTATTATTATTATTATTAATATAACATTTTTATCACAGCAGCACATACAGCCTCCCCGCTTCCTTATGCAGCGGTCATTGATGCGTTTCCATGGCAACGATAAACATGTCGTGTCTGTCATGGCGGCTCTTTTCCTTGCACCTGATCCCTCTTCTCACTCCTAACAGCTTCACTTTGGTTGTTTTTTTTTGGGGTGTTTTTTGTTTAACACAGATCATGTGATCTTTCACTTCTTGTTTGTGTTTTTGTGTGCTTGTTTAGAGGAGCTTCTGCTGGAGGACTTCAGCAGCTATCGTTTCCTGGTGGCCGGTCACGTGGAGGTCCCCGGTCAGGAGGATGACGAGATGTTTTTGGAGACTCTGGAGGCCATGGAGATCATGGGCTTCTCCGAGGAGGAGAGAATTGGTACACACTGCAATGAAGTCACAAAATTAAAATCCTCAAACTTCTACTACCTACTCAGCTGTTTAAAAACCCATTTTCATTCTGATTACGTTCCCTCTTCCTCGCTGCAGGGATGTTCAAGGTGGTGTCCACTGTGCTGCAGCTCGGCAACGTCAAGTTTGAGAAGGAGAGGAACAGCGAGCAGGCGACCATGCCGGACAACACCGGTAACCCATTTCTTAAAAAAAATACCCCCAACAGAAAAAGCAGCCTGTATTTATAAACCTCTCTGACGTCTTCTTGTTCTTCTTCTCTTCACCCATTAACCGCAGCTGCCCAGAAGGTGTGCCATCTGCAGGGCATCAATGTCACAGACTTCACCCGCGCCATCCTCACCCCGCGGATCAAAGTGGGCAGGGAGGTGGTGCAGAAGGCGCAGACCAAGCAGCAGGTAACGGAGGAGAAAAGCTCTTTGATACAGATTTCCCTTCAGAATGCCGAACGACGTGCAATTAAGTAAATTATCTGAGCCTCAGAATTAAAGTTCAAGTATTTTTTGCCCCTTCTTCTTGGAATCGGTTGCAAGATACTTTAAATCTTCAGGAGCTGGTTTCCTTCAATGTTTTTAAAGGTCGTCTTAATGATCTGGAGGCAGAAACATCTGACTGTAGATGTTTTAGCTAACTCGTATTGACCTTTTTGATCGCTTTGTTGCTGATGACTTCTGACAGATTCTGATGAATGGTTCTTTTTGTGACTCCTGTATTTATGTTCATTGTTGTAAAGTGTTTTATGTCTAAAACCCTGTAATTGTGCTGCTGCCTGTCTTGGCCAGGACGCTCTTGTAAAAGAGATTTTTAATCTCAATGAGACTTTTTCCTGGTTAAAAAAAAAAAAAGGTAAGGCAAATTTCAGCAAGAAGGCAATCCACACAAGACATCAACCAACGGAGACAGATTCACCTGCTAGTCTCGCTTAATCGAAATGGATTCTGTAAAAGGATCAAATCCTCAGAGCGTCTTCCCGAGGATTCAGGCTCACAGTTTGCTCAGTCTGTGTCGAGTCACAGCTCACAGGCTGGCTCAGACTTCTAGAAACCCCCCAGCAGCAGCAGCAGCATCATGCACAGCTTAACTCTCACCAATTGCAATGTAGAATGCGAAAGGGTATCGTAGATGGTAACTGTAGTCATTTTTTTTTGCCTAGGCAGCAATTTTGAAGTTATGATTAGGCGATAACGACGACTACAACGTTAATCCACAGTAAGAAAAATTAAAAAAAAACAGAAAAATAATCACAGTGACAAGGCACACTAATTGTTTAAGCCAGCCTTTCCCAAACTTAAGACTGCCGCGGCCCACTTTGAAATACAAAATTACTCCGGGGCCCGTTATAACATAAAAGTTATGACTGCAGCTCCCACTTTCAGTAAGGGTAAAATATTGGACATGACAACATGATCTTATGCGTAGATAGGCACAAAAGTTTACTAAACAAATAGTAAAATATCATATTATGTCCATTACAAGCCTTACTAATCACTCTCATGGTAAATGATTTTCTCTTTATTTTAATATCTGGTGGAGGCCTTTTTGCGACCCACCTGTGGTACCCACACGGCCCACCAGGGGGGCCGCGGTCCACACTTTGGGAAGCACTGGTCTAAACTATCCTGTTTATCTCTTAACCCACCCGTCCTCCTCCTCCTCCTCCTCCTCCTCCTCCAGGCTGATTTTGCAATCGAGGCTCTGGCTAAGGCCATGTACGAGCGTCTGTTCCGTTGGATCCTGGCCCGAGTGAACAAGACGCTGGACAAGAGTAAGAGGCAGTCGTCCTCCTTCCTCGGCATCCTGGACATCGCCGGCTTTGAGATTTTCGAGGTGATCTATGAACCACAAACGGTGTTTTTTTTTTTTTTTATTTCACCACACTGATCACAATTATTCTAATCACCGCCGTGACTCTCTCTGCTCCAGGACAACTCCTTCGAGCAGCTCTGCATCAACTACACCAACGAGCGTCTGCAGCAGCTCTTCAACCACACCATGTTCATCCTGGAGCAGGAGGAGTACAAGAGGGAGGGCATCCAGTGGAGCTTCATCGACTTCGGCCTCGACCTGCAGCCCTGCATCGAGCTCATCGAGAGGCCGGTCAGCGTCTAGTGTGAAATGCAGAGTTAGAATAAGAATTAAACTTGTATGTGTTTGTATTCATTTCTAAACTGAGTGTCTGTGTCTCTTCAGAACAACCCTCCTGGCATCCTGGCCCTGCTGGACGAGGAGTGCTGGTTCCCCAAAGCCACCGACGTGTCCTTTGTGGAGAAGCTGCTGAACACTCACACCGGTCACGTTAAATTCTCCAAACCCAAACAACACAAAGACAAACTCATGTTCAGCGTCCTGCACTACGCCGGGAAGGTGAGCATCACCGGCTTTTGCTTTTGTAGTTCACAAAAAGAGGCATCCATATTGATTTGAAACTCCTCACTGGAGCTTTAAATCTTTAACTTCATGGGCCATGGGGGGGGGGGAATTGAACTCTGTAGATCTACTTCTCCTTATACGTCCTTGATTTAATGAGATTTCTTAACATTCAGAAATATTTTGATGACTTGACTCAACATTTCCAGGTGGACTATAATGCAGCTAACTGGCTGACTAAAAACATGGATCCTCTGAATGACAACGTGACCGCGCTGCTCAACAACTCCTCCAGCAACTTCATCCAGGACCTGTGGAAAGACGGTCAGTCCTCCATGACGGGGCAACATGTGCTCACTTGGCTTTTTTTCAATCCCCAGCTCCTGCAGCCACATGTCCTCTGAGTCACTTCACCCCAAGTTGCTCCCACTGCTTCCTCGGCTGTTTATAAATGTCTATGAATGGGATTAGTTACCTCTGATGGACTCTTTACAAAACAGCCTCTACCATCAGTGAGTGAATGTGTAGGTGTGACCTGTGGTGTAAAAGCGCTTTGAGTAGTCACTCTATACAAGCTCAAGTCCATTTACCATTTACATTTTTCTTTAACGAGATCTCTCACCACAAATCGACAGATATGATACTTAAATGTGTGTTAAATGTTTCCCTTTGTGTCAGCGGACCGCGTGGTGGGTCTGGAGACCATCACCAAGATGTCGGAAAGTTCAGCGCCGACCAAATCTAAGAAGGGAATGTTCCGCACGGTGGGGCAGCTGTACAAAGAGTCTCTGGGCAAACTGATGACCACTCTGCACAACACGCAGCCCAACTTTGTCCGCTGCATCATCCCCAACCACGAGAAGAGGGTGGGTCGTCTGTAGAGCTTCGTTTTATAGATTACATCTAAATATAGCCACAGTTAATGACTGTATCCATGTTAAGTTTGAGCACAGATAAGGGAGTGTGTGCATACATTTAAGGGTTTGTTGATCTGCTCCTGTGCTGCAGTCGGGGAAGATGGACGCCAACCTGGTCCTGGAGCAGCTCAGGTGTAACGGAGTGCTGGAGGGAATAAGAATCTGCAGACAAGGATTCCCCAACCGAATACTGTTTCAGGAGTTCAGGCAGAGGTAAAGAAGTAAAGTAACCCGCTACAAGGCCTTTTTTAAGTTTTCTCGACTAATTATCAAAGTGTTGTATCGACTTAGTTTAAGATTTTTGCAAATCTTGCACACGTTTTGAGAAGTAAACCAGAGAGGAGTTTGGTCGCGACAGAAACAATAAATCTACAAAAGAATCAAAAGCAACCGATTAAAGTTTCTCTTTTGATATGATGCATCATGCTGTAATTCATGAACATCACTTTTACGAGCGAAGGGAAAATGCAGTTGGAGCGATTTGAATCCTGTGTAAGTCGTCAAATTAAACGAAGTGCTGAAATTCCCATATTTAACCACTAGAGGACAGCAGGGGTCCGTTTCAACAAGAAAAAAACTCAAATTAAATATTTTCCTCTAATATTTTTATTTCAAATTCAACAGTTTATTTAGTCATTTGGTTTTAGAGTAAAGGCTTTTTTAAATTGAAATATTTTCACTTTGAATTAACCTCAAACCTCATGTTATCACCCCTTTACTAATTTAAAAGTTTACATTTTATATATTTTATTCCCTGCATTATTAGCATTTAAAACATTTTACTCTTTGGGTGACACTATGAATGTGAAAGGAGACATGTTTTTCTTTCTCTTCTGATTTGATTTGATTTCTTTGTCATGTCGATGTTGACGATCATCAACTGTGTGATCTTGAACTTCTTGTTTTTTATCCTCACTCAAGAAATAAAATATTTTCTGTTTATTTTCTGTTATTCTTGTTTGTAGATATGAGATTCTGGCTGCCAACGCTATCCCGAAGGGCTTCATGGATGGGAAGCAGGCGTGCTCTCTGATGGTGAGCTGCAGGGAAATCAACATCTTTGTGTCCTAGAACAGATCTGATACTGTAACAGTGTTCAGATGAACATCGATCACGTTGTCACGGCTCGCTGTAATCCAGGACTGCTTCCAACATTTTCATGAAAATGTCAATAAAATAAGACATTTTTTTTTCCTTTCTTAAAACACACTTTCCCTTGTTTCCTGTCCTCCAGGTGAAGCACCTTGATCTGGATACTAACCTGTATCGTATCGGTCAGAGTAAGATGTTCTTCAGGACCGGAGTTCTGGCTCAGCTGGAGGAGGAGAGAGACATCAAACTCACCGTCGTCATCATCGCTTTCCAGGCGCAAGCTCGAGGCTTCCTGGCCCGAAAGTACGACACTCAACTTCACATTTATTTTTTTTTTTCCAGTGGATAGAGTTTGGAAAAGGGATGAGACTGGTGGGATCAAACTGAGGTTACACACAAGCTCAAATCTCACTTCATCTTTGTGTGTGTGTGTCTTTTTTCAGGGCGTTCAATAAACGTCAGCAGCAGCTGACCGCCATGAAGGTCATCCAGAGGAACTGTGCCTGTTACCTCAAGCTCAAGAACTGGCAGTGGTGGAGGCTCTTCACCAAGGTTACACACACACGCCCACGTTTGGTCTTTAGAATCACTGATTACTGACTCCCCACATTTTTTACAATCTAAGTTTGTGTATTCTGCACTCGAACCTTTGAATGTGTCTTCCTGTGGTGCAGGTGAAGCCTCTGCTGCAGGTAACCAGACAAGAAGAAGAAATGGGTCAAAAAGACGAGGAGCTGAAAGTGGCTAAGGAGGTGGCGGCAAAGACCGAGGCCGAGCTGAAGGAAGTCTCCCAAACACACCCAGGTGAGATGAAGGGTTTTCACTTGATCTTCTATTATTCAATCTAAAAAGTTACATCTCCAGAAAAATACTTCTACGTCTGTGTCTGCAGCTGATGGAGGAGCGCGTCCAGCTGGAGGCAAAGCTGCATGCGGAGACGGAGATGTACGCCGAGGCCGAGGAGATGAGGGTGAGGCTGGAGGCCAAGAAGCAGGAGCTGGAGGAGGTCCTGCACGAGATGGAGTCGCGGCTGGAGGAGGAGGAGGATCGCAGCAACTCCCTGCAGCAGGAGAGGAAGGACATGGAGCAGCAGCTAACGGTGGACACGCTGTTGTTATTATTGTTCTTATTTACACACTATCACAGTCACACAACTGGTTCACAACCTTCATTTTAGACCACATTAAGGTTTTTCATGTATATAATGGTGGACAGAGGCAGTGAGGATTTTATTTTTCTCAGTGCAAGATATGTACACAGCCAGGTGAGTGTGTTTTACAAATGCTGGAAATAAAAGCTAATAACATGACGGATGGATGAGCAACAGGCCAAGATACTGCAAGTTTGTTTGTTTTCAGCATGGGCTAGGCTCACAGTAGCTCATTTATTTCCTTAATTTCCTTTTTTTTTATTCCACACTTCATGTTTTTGTGCAGCTCATGGAGGCTCACATAGCCGAGGAGGAGGACGCCAAGCAGAAGCTGCAGCTGGAGAAAGTTGCCGTGGAGGGAAAAGTCAAGAAACTGGAGGAGGACGTTTTGGTGATGGAGGACCAAAATAACAAACTGCAGAAGGTAAAAAAAAGCAGCATGTGGTAATATCAGGGTTAAAATGCACAGTATAACTTTTTAATATTGGTATCTGTGTTTGCAGGAGCGACAGCTGCTGGAGGAGAGGATGGCTGATATGAGCTCTAACCTGACAGAGGAGGAGGAGAAATCTAAGAATCTGACCAAACTCAAAGCTAAACATGAGTCCATGATCTCTGATCTGGAGGGTCAGTCAAGAATGATCTTAACTTTGTCTTTTAAAGACATGCAGCCAGTTTATACAGAAATAAGTTCTATATTGACAACATATAAAAACAAAGAACATGTCATATGTTGCACAGAGCAGAAATAAGAAGCTCTAGAAAGGAGAGGACATAAAAGATTCAAATCTAAAATGCTATTTGTCTTTTATCAGGAGTTTAATTTTTCAACGTCTTTTTAAAGTCTCAGTTAAATTGTTTTCTCCCTTTCTGTGTGTTCACAGTGCGCATGAAGAAGGAGGAGAAGGGCCGTCTGGACATGGAGAAAGCCAAGAGGAAGGTGGAGGCGGAGCTTGCCGACCTCCAGGAGCAGCACGCCGACCTGCAGGCCCAACTAGCCGATCTCCAATCCAAGCTGGCTGAGAAGGAGGAGGAGCTGCAGGCCACCCAGGGCCGGTATGCAGAACGACACGAGCGGAAGATGTTCCAATGATAAATGCTGACAATATTGTTGGACAGAAAACGTCATTTAGAGAACGCCTTAGCGGCATTGGAGCAAAGAACAGCAGGTTAATCCAGAGTGTGGTGCTAAAGGAGGAGTCAGGAAGGGATGTAATTGAGAAGTAGTTTAGGTTTGTAACGCTGCTTAGATCCATCTGCTAATGGGATAAAATAAATTAGTTCTACATGTTATCACAGGTGTGGCTGAAGTTTTTTGTTTCCTCTCAGACAAAAAAATAAATTATATTTAATGCTTTTGTGTGTCCGTTGTCCGCAGCCTGGAGGAGGAGAGTAATCAGCGTGGGGCGGCGGTGAAGCGGGTTCGGGAGTTGGAGGTTATGATCTCAGAGCTGCAGGAGGACCTGGAGGCAGAGAGGGCGGCCAGGGCGAAGGTGGAGGCAGCTCGACGGGACCTCGGAGATGAGCTGAACGCTCTACGCACCGAGCTGGAGGACAGTCTGGACACCACCGCGCACAGCAAGAGCTACGGTCTGTAGAGAAACCTCTGATTGGCTTTTTAACACCCTGAGGTATAGAAGAGTATCATCTGCATAGAGGCAGATATCGCTGTCTTCTATTTGAGCTTTCATGCTGTTTTATTGTTGTTTGGTGTTGTGTTGTGATGTTGTGTGTTTATTTTAATGGCAGGGCAAAGCGTGAGGGAGGTTGCCTTGCTGAAGAAAGCCATGGAGGATGAGGGGCGGAGCCACGAGGCCAGGTTCAGGACTTGAGACAGAAGCACAGCCAGGCTGTGGAGGAGCTGAATGAGCAGCTGGAGCAG